ATTAAACTCATCTAATATTAAACTCATCTAATATTAAACTCATCTAATATTAAACTCATCTAATATTAAACTCATCTGATATTAAACTCATCTGATATTAAACTCATCTGATATTAAACTCATCTGATATTAAATAGGTGTAGGACCATCCGTCGCCATGAAATGGTATGCAAAAGGTTATAGGACTTTTGATGACATTATTCAAAACGTCAAACTAACACGTGCCCAACGCATTGGAATTGAATGTTATGACGTAAGTTTATAAATTATTTTCTATAAAAAAATTTATATTATTCAAAGTTAAAATTTATACAAATAATTCATTTTCAAAGGACCTTCAAGAAAGAATTCCACGAGATGAAGTGACTGAAATTTCAAAACGCGTAGAAATAGCTGCTTGTAAAATTGACCCAAAATTATTATGTATTACCGTTGGGTCTTACATTAGAGGTCAACCAACTTGCGGTGATATAGATATTTTGATAACCAGAAATAATTCTGATGGAAAATCAAGTTCGGGTAAACTTAATTTATTCAATATACAGTTAACTCTAATTAGATATAGCGCGTCTTTTTTTATATCCATATAAAGAATTTTCTTTAAATTTTTTAAATTTAAAAATTCGTTACATAAAACGTAGTAAAATTTTATATACAGTCAGACCTCTCTAAATGCAATGCAACCCTTTTTAAATGTTATCTTTAACTCCTCTGGCCCAGCTATGACGAAATTCGACAAAATGACTGGTTTTGTCAATTTGGTTAATGATTTTATTATAACTTCGTCAATTTCGAAAATATTTTCCATCACCCATTTATAAGACCCAGCTATATCCATGAATGTTATTTTTCTAAATGTGTTTAGGATGGCTTGACTGTACCAAATTTTACTATAAGAACCGCTAGTTCATTATAGAGAGTTGACTGTATTAAATACTTCCAGTGTTATTGCTAGTATGAAATATGTGCTGATATTATTACTATTAAAAGATTCCTTTTTAAAGTTGCTCGACGCTCTACGTGAACAAGGATTATTAACGCATGATCTCACACAACCTAATGATGAAAAAGCCTCGTCAAGATACCTTGGAATTTGTAAGTTACCCGAAGGAAAATATCGTCGAATAGGTAAAAAAAAAAAAAAAAAACAACTTTATAATTATGTTTATTAGTTTAATTATGTTTATGAATTGTGTTTATGTCATTTAATTAAAATATGATGTCAAGTGCTAATTTTCTTTGAATTCTAGATCTTTTCACTGTTCCATTTAATGAATTAGGTGCTGCATTATTAGCTTTTACAGGAAACGATGTTTTTAATCGAAGTATGAGATTGCTTGCAAGAAAACAGGTAATTATTTAATTATTCAAATTCAAGAACTCACAAATTGTTTCTATTATTCGAATGTCGCGTAATAAAATTTTTTATATCACAGAAAATGAAACTGAATAATCATGGTTTATATAAAGATATTTCTCGGGGTCGCGGTGGTGTAAGTTTAAATGAAGGGACATTGGTTGCACAAAGAACTGAAAGGGAAATATTTGATGCTTTGGGGGTTCCATGGCGGTAAATATATTTTATATCGATATAAATATATTTTTTTTTTACTCTAACCATTTTAATTTACCAATTTTTTTAATTTTATTTTTTAGCCCACCAAGCGAAAGGAGTTGCTAAATATCGTATCTCAATTTGATTAGTTCAATTGCACTACCGTATTTCGATAATTACGTCAAATCTATCTGCATACCCAATTTCGTAATAACAGTATTGTATTTTATATATATATATACTGTATTTGATAATCCACTTTTTAGCTGTACTTGATGTACTTGATAATCCACTTTTTAGCTGTACTTGATACGTATTACTGTATTTGACTTTTATCTAGTGTGAAAATTAGATTGAAAAATGTACCAATATATTTCAAACTTGGCGTAATGCAATGCAATAAAAAATTAACATAAATATTGACCTCTGATGCAATACATACACTGTATTGCTATATTTTGCTAAACTAATTACGTATATATTGCTTAATATTTTTCTTGCAAATTATCATGTTTTTATATGTTACAACGCTTGTCAGTTTCGAAAAACATCAATTTTTTCAAACCTAATCTACTTTCAACTTTAGTTTGAATAATGCTTTAAACAATAACTTTGAAAATATTTTTTAATTTACTTACAAATAATGAATAATGCTTTAAACAATAACTTTGAAAATATTTTTTTAATATTACAAATAATGAATAATGTTTTAAAATACAATCAATTTTCTTCTTTTGAAAAATGTTTTTATATAATTTCTATTTAAAATATATATATATATATTTTTAAAAATGAGGTTTTGTCCTTATCTTTATTGATATTTTTGTATTAAAGATCCACTAGTAGTTTCTTGGCCAAAACCAGTTTATAAAAATTTTTACAAGAATGAGACTTAGACTACTAGAAACTATTTAAACAAAAATTCTAATTTATCTAAACCTACTAGAGTAGTTAAGCTTTTTTTTTCATATATTAAGATGAGATCATGTCTCTAGTTTTTATTAACATATACTTATTATAACAAATCTTTTATATATATGCTAATACAGAACTATCAAGACTTAGACTAATTTATCTACAACCTAAACCTACTAGAGTAATTTATATCCCACATATGTTTCATCTAGCTTTATGCTTTCCAACTAACTATTTCAGAGCAGTTAAAACTTATCTAAATTTAATAATATAAAATATTAGTAGTTAGAGTATTATATTTATTTCATATAATAGTTTATAAAGATATTTTCTTGATTGCTTTTTCAAGAGATAAATATATATTATTATTGTGTTGTTAGTTTAGCAGACTGCAAAAGTAGCTATAAGTATATAATATCCTATATTATATTGTATTAGGATTGGGTATTGTGTGAATAGTTCTTGTATTAAAATTGAACCTGAAGAATATATTGTTTGTTATTTTTATTATATAAGTTTTATACAATATGATATATATAGCTGGTTATGTATATTTTGTGATATTTGTATAAATAGTTATATTGTTGTATTTGTTATAATTTAAATAAAATCTGTATATGCTTTTATAGTTTATATAAAAAATATAGAAATAAATCCTTGTATAGTTGTGTATAA